CTTTTTGGTTTAAGATGTTTGCTGGTAGTTTTGTACTTAACCTTTCTTTGTTATTGTTGTCTGAAGCAAGTGGGCGCGGAAGGGCACGGACATGGACACGGACACGGACACAAATACGAATACGGACATGGACACGGACGCAACTACGGACACGCACACAAAACTACTGTTCGGGGTGGATACACTGAGACGGGCTGCTTTAGAAGCCAACAACAAACAGTAAGAAGAGCAACAACAACAACAACAACAATAAACACAATAGCAAGGGTATAACCTGTGTGCAATCTCAGCCGGCCGTAGAAAAAAAAAAGCATGGGCATTCAACAAGGTGTCCACTTGGTAGATTGCTTTTGCCGTTCCGTTTTCGCCTATTGCCATTTCTCTCTGCCTCCGCCTCTCCCTCTCTGCCACTAGCAACCACTACCACTGTCTTGCCTTCGCCATCTTCTTCTACGTCTGCGACTGCGTCTTCGTCTCCGTCTTCGTCTCCGTCATCGCCTCTGTCTCTATTTGCTGTTTGCTCAAGTACCCACAGCGTAAATACTCGGTGTACGAACGCCGAGGAAATTGAATTGACACCACTCGCCACATTCGCCGGCTCATCAGGTTGCGGTGCGTGCGTGTGAGTGAGTGTGTGTCCGTCTATGTGTGTGTGTTATGTGTGTGGTCGAGCTCAATATATCCGTTTCCAATTCTAACGGTTCACTAGGTATCGTCAATAGCGCCACACCAACTACTGAATCCAATTATTTGCGCTACTCATTAAAACACCAATAACAATTCGAATGTGTTCTGCAATAAATGTTATTGAACTGATCCTTAAAAAAACAACAACAACAACAACAACACCAGCACGTAACTTATTTATGAGGCATTGCGGACTTAAGCATCTTGTGCCTGATTGGAGATCTGAAATGACTTTCCTCCGCTACAGTTTTCCTTTCTCTTCAAAGCGAATGATTTAGAATGGGGGAACCACTTTATATGCTAGAGGCATTAATAATTAATAACATAAACAATAAGAGCATTATTTCATTTAGTATTTTATTTATATTCATATTTAGGCAGAAATAAAGGCACTTCAATATACATACAAGTACATACAACTGATTTCTTGCCTTAATTTTAATTTCTTTAAAATTCTGGTGCGCTCCAAAAACGGAACCTTTATGAGGCGAAGCTATAAAAGCAAAGTTATAAAATAAATTGTAAAATATTGGAATTATCAGAAGGCTTATTCTTATCAACTTATCTTACTGCCATATATATGTAGTTCTTTAATAACATAGAATGATAAACCTTTGGCGGATAATAAGTACAAAGAACATTTATCACTTTTTGCAACCGGGAAGCAAATTTTAACAATTCCCAGAGAGCATTTCTTTCGAAAAAACTTCCAAGGCCTTTCCTATATTTTCTTTTAGCTCTGAAACTGGTTTGACAGTGCTTCACAGACTTGTTTATATCGATGCATTTTTTTTTGAATTCAAATACTAACAGCAAGTGGTGGCCCGATTTTGATTAAACATGACATATTTTTATACCAACAAAAACAAATTAAATAAGTTATATTCTGAGAAATCTATAAATCTGAAGCAATGTTGCCGATATATTCTCAAATAGCGACTAAACAATTATCCGATTAAAAACGATCGGATAAGATCTTTTATTACGCATTTATATATATTTTTGTGGGCAGCTACAATTGTTTAAAGAATTTTGAACTTATTTATCACTGTGCCGCCATCAGCATCGCAATGAAAACTTTCCACAAATTATTCAGTTTTTATTGCATGAGATTTCGTTTTTTGAAACTATTATCAATTTGAAAAAAATATCGAAGAACATAAAACTCGTTCTCTTATTTCCGCTATTGACTGAGGCAGTTGGAAAATCGTGGATAAGCTAAGAGGAAATCACGGCAAGCACCAGGAAAGTTTGGGCCTAAGATGGAAGGCCAATTGTGCTCGAGAAGCCAATGCGTCAGACTGCAGCTCAGCAAGGAAGGCATTGAAGAACATTGAGGGGAACGACAAGGTCTTGTACTTATATTCCCCTATCAAGGTGATCAAGGTAGCAACCGCTTTACTGTTAAGGACGAACGCCACTATCGTAAGTCCTGGTAGATTAACCTTTTTCCACACCAAATCCTAATATAAATAAAACCCCACCCCAGCCAAACCCTAATTTATGTATTGGAACTATTTTTATACGAGTATACCCGGCAATACTAACATTCCTGCACAATTTGTATTTGCTTGTTTTACAAACATTGTTGTGATTCTTTCGAATGCATTTATTGTTCATCTCTGACATGCGGCAGTCAAAATCTCTAATAAAATAAAGACACGTTCCGTTTTGTTGTTGTCCCATTGTCAGCATATCCATTGAGAAGATCCCCTTTGCTGGCTTCGTGGCTTCCTTCCTTCCTTCCTGCCTGCCTGCCTGCCTGCCTGCCTACCTCATTTGTCATATATAATTGTAACCAGAGGAACCAAATAGAGAGAAATAAACCATCAAATAAAGAGCAACAATAGTTTCGGCTATTTAAATGACATGGTATTTATTGCTGGAGGCAGGTACATGCCACTATACTTGTACAAGTATACTGTGTATATACATATATGTAAGGGAGGGCAGCACCCGAACCTAAACACTTCAAAACAGAGCACACACACACATATACAAGTATACAAGTATATATACACACCTAGGTCTAAATGTATTTTATACGGTTCAATGTCATCGTTCACCCATCATATGTGTAGCCCTCGAGCCGTCGACGGGGCGCTAGCGCTAGACGGATCGGCGCGATAATTTGACAAACCTCCCCTAATAGCCATCCTTTAACGCTTTAATTGCCGTTTTGTTGCACTGAGTAGTCAGTCGCAGGGCAGGGCAGGGCAGGGCAGGGCAGGGCAGGGTAGGGTGCTGGGCTCGAAGGGCATGCCCGTTTCGAATCTTGGCACAATAATACATAATTTGTAATACTCAAATGCGCGCGTAATTCATGTATGGCGGGCGACAAACCCTTTCGATAGTCTCTGAAATATTACACTGAAGCGAGCGCATCGGTCGTGAGGCGGTCGCATAAAGAGAAGTGCCACCGCACCTGGAAATTTAACAATGTAGCAATAGCAACAACAAATTGTTCTAGGGTACCCCCATTTTAAGTAGATATCGCTCGCCTGTAATTAGGCAGCGTTGAAATGCATGAAAAGACTTAATAACTATACTTTGGAATTCCCAGGCACAGGGCACAGACACCCAACGAATTTTGAAACGTTTACAATGTGACAAGTGGGCAAGCGTAGAAATTGTTCTACGAATTATACAGTGGGCGGAGTTTCGACGAGTTAGTCTTCAGGATCGCCAAAAAGGGCGGGCATGTGAGCCGAGCAGCTGTTCGTTCCTCGTCGTTTGAAAATAAAAGTCTGGGCAAGCTTTAAGCCGAACGCGAACTTAGGCTCACACTGATTTCAAGCCCATAGGTTCCTACTTTAAACAAATATAGTCCGAGGAGGCTTTAAATCCTACATCATGGAGCATTCGAATTAAATAGAAAGTGTGGCTTAATGTTATTTATTTATCTGCGAGTGAGGGAGTTATTGTTCGATTTGGAACCCTATACGCTCATTCTACCTGTAAAATAAAAACAAAATAAGGTTCTCCTAGATCATGAAGCTCTGATTCGGTGTAAAAAAATTTCTGAGGAGCTTGGAATTGAAATCAAAGTGAGGTTTAGAGCAAGAGAGGTTTCAGATTTCAAACCCAATTGGATCGCTCTTTAAATCAAAAAGCAGATTCTACAGTTGTGGCTTATAAACAATAACGAAATAACCCTGTCCCTTTTTTAGTTGTGAGTCAGGAAGGTATAAGATTTGGAACACTATACGCTACAACATTACAAAAAGTATGCTAGAGCGTAGTAGGACTTATTATCATTCTAATATTTGACAATGGGGGACGTATGTATACCGGATTTCTAAGCTTTTTTGGATGGTTGTGTTCATCTTCTGTGGCTGTGATCGGATAGGGAACTCGATAGACTCCTACAATAAAAAAGCTATCAGCTCTAAATGAAAAACGAACTAACGCTACTCTCAGATATATTCACTCCTAAAAGGTCTTATAAAATAAAAAAGTTCTCGAACGCGCTTTCATTTAATGTGTGACTCAGAATGAGGCAAGTCTGTAATAAACAGCTGCGTTAGTTTCTTGTTTTAAACTAGAGCGTGGCTCAGCAACCTCCTCTATTTGTAAAAGTGGGAGAGGTATTCGATTCAGAAACTCCGTAAATTAAAAGGACCCGGCAGAGAGCTTCATGCTTAAAGTGAACATCTTGCTCTGGGCTGTATCCATTATTCCGAAAAGTTTCATCAATAACTCCTGGGAAGGGTCACCAATGGCCCTTGAGATACACTGCATTGATGTATCCTGTGTTATGTTTGCCGCTCAATTTAACTGATTTGTATGGCGAGGAGCTGAGCCGAGCTGGAGAACTGACTGCGAGAATGAATTTGTACAAGTGTATGAGCGTGCATTTTTAATGCTCTTACGGGGATAAGACTTCTTAGGCATTATGTGTTTAAAGAACATAAACAAGTAAATCCTGCGGTGACGTGGAAGTCCATTGCTTCGCAACGACAATTTCAATGGGTATTTCTTTCTGCTTCTTTTATTATTTTTTTTTTTTTCTGCTGGCATTGTTATAAGAATATTGGCGCTGAGGGGGCGAGTAAGAAAGCACGGTATACATCTGTATTGTACTATTGGAAAGCTTACTAAATAAACGTATGCTCGTATGTATGTATGTATATAGTATATAGTAGTGTGTGGATGCAAAAACATACATACGTACATACGTATGAACATACGTTAGATGAATGCTGTAAAGTTCAATCCCCCCACACGTTTCATTTGTATAGAACGGTAACATTAAAGTGCTCCCGCCTGTATGTTTATACGATTGTATGACTCCCCCACTCCCCCACACTTACCATAGTCACCGGCAGGCCGCCGGGAGTTCCATTTGTGTACGAATACGGCGACACCAAATATCCCATATTAAAGCTGGGTGCATGAGGTTCAAGCTTATCTGAAATGGAGCACAAGCCAGATTATTAAATGTGAGCATACTAGCGTTTTTGTGTGCGATGCCAGATTCGTGGCAACAGCACAAGCACTTTTTTTCTCTTTTTTTATTTATTTATTTATTTTTTGAATTGTAGATTATATTATGGCTTAGTAATTTACCAACAGTTTGTAGCGCAGTTTTTCAGTTTGAACATTACTTCGTATACTTTGTCTTTATAATTGTAATTGTGGAAATTGTACGATTAGGAGACTTACTACATACTTGTAGTACGATTTATTGTAAGTAAATGCGGATGGTACTGCTTTTTCTGACTCAAAGAAGTGTTATTTCCTAGTGTTAATTTATCCTAATACTGATCAGACGTTGTAGTCTGTTAGTTTTCCAAGACTAGATTCGGACATATTGGTAAAATGCGTTCACATGTTCTTTTCGGACGATATCACACATTTTATTCGTTGGTTAATCCATGAAAAACTCAGCTTGTTCAATTTCTCTTTTAATGCCCCATTTACCTCTTTCTTGCTGATTAAATAACAAACTTAATTACCTTTATTTCCACTTTAATGCTTAAATTGTGAAAATAAAATAATACATTATGTAGGAACTGAATAAAAAGGAACAAAAGTCACTGAAGAAGTTCAATAAGTCTTTTGAATGACCCGCCCAATTGAACATATTTTGAACGAAACGAAAATTATGTAAAAATTGATGAACTGTTTCGTCCATTCTAGTGCAACATTCTTCATGTACTAAATGATCTGGATATTTACTAGCATCAGGATTCTCTGATCTATTTATTTTAGTTATCATATTTAGTTATTAGTCTATGTATGATTATTATATTTATTCAGTATTTCAGTACCATGCATATAACCAGAATTTGTTGCTTTCATAGAATCTTTTGCAATAGTTTTATATGAAACATAACATTCCCCATTTAAGCCTTTGGTTTACATATATTCTATTCCAATAAGACATAAACTTGCATCGTATGCAGTTCTACTTGGTGTTGCTGAACAATGAAGGCTTACAACTTTTGCAGTTATTGAGACTTCAATGTTTTAATAAGCCATTTACACCTTCGATTAGATAAAATTTAGATAGAATAATGTTTATAGATATGATTGATAATATTTTTAAAATGCAAATCAACCTATTTGTTCTTGTAAGCTGTGAAAAGTTATGTACATATGACAAGTTGGCCTAAATATATTTAAAAATTATGCACGGTTTTCAATTAAATTAACTTTCAAGGGTCAAGAAAAAACTCGAAATTCTCAGTATCTCTAAATAAATGAGAAAACAACTTATCTCACCTATACCTATACGAGTACGTCTTAAGCGTGTTCCTTTAATGAAGCATTTGAAATGTATAGAAGAAAATGCAGACCAACAAAAAAAAACTCCTCCTAATTTCAATCCTAACAATCAAAATAAAGGAGAAAAAAAATCCACACCAAATAAACTGATTTGTTTTTTTCTTCGGGTTAGGAGTGATTAAATGGGATCACCACCACGAAGCGTAAATCATGAAAGGTCACATTTAAATAAGGCAAACAGCAGGGTAAGGGGCTGAAAATAAATGATCTGTGGACGAATATTTAGTAACGCAACCTGCAGGTCATGGATCGATGGCCATTGCCACAAAAAAGTGCATTTTCATGCACTATTATTCAGAAGTGGGGGAATTATTACTCAAAACGGAAGATGGCTGAAGCTGAAAAATGACCATAATGTCCCATGGCTTTAAGTAAAGAAGCTAATTCCCAAATCGACTTCTCTAATCGCGCTGATCATGCATGTAAGAGTAGCAGGAATTCTTTTACGCTTCCCTCTGTACCTGATTACGACTCTGTACGAGGGTCGCTCCACTAGTCTACAAAGCAGTTAGGAAGCTGGCCACATGTCCCAGGAAGTCGGTGAATTATAAACTTAAGAATGGCAAAAAGGGTAATATCGATGCATAGCTAGATTGTGCATTGCTTACCTTCACCACGAGATATTTCTTAAACAAATTTAAAAGTGATCGTACATATGTATGGTTTTTTTACGTTGGGACTGGCACTCGGAAAAAAGGTCTTTAGCATCAACGCCGATCGCCGAACTAAAGTGTGCGAAGTAGAGGAGACCGTAGGCGTGTCGTTAACGTATAACAGCAATCAATATTTCACATGATAGGCTGTTTGAGTGTGAGAAAGGAGTCGACCCGATGACTGCCTAATTGCGACCACAAAGAACAACAAGCGGAGCGGCTGTCAATGTCGAGACGTGTTTGCAACTCCTTAGGGGAAGTTCGCAGGAGTTCTTGAAACGAATAAGTCTGTTCCGAAGAAGGCAAAGGTAAGGTCATTCCTATAATTATTTCAGATTCCAACCGAATATTTAAAACAACTTGTTGCCAAGACAGATAGTGTTTCTGAAAGTCAAACATTTGAAAATAAATATCGAAAGGACAACTGTAGTTAAACATCTTAGAGAACAGGGTCTCCCATACTAAGATAAGTGGATTGTTTTCGTTTTGAAACCAATAACTATTTCGATAGCCTCAAATGTTTCGAAACCGATTCTTATCAATTCCCATTTGTGCCTTCAATTTCAAATGGGCCATCTAGTTTTACAATTATCATTATAAGCCAAAAATAAGAATTCATACATTATTTATTCTTAAAGGTGTTTTAACCTTTTTTACCGGAAAATATTTAGTGGGACACAGTTTTTTTTTTAAAAAAAGTCTCATTAACTGGGTAAGTATTCTAGTACTAAAGACAGTATACATATGTATAGTTGGCTTTAAAAAAGCATGTCTCCACACATTTAAGTACATTTCTTTGGGCTTTTACACACATCATATGAACATCATAAATACATAGCTCGTAATAACGGCAGTTAGTAAAAAAAAATGATAAATGAATGGAACATTGAGGAGGAAAGTAATTTGTGTCGATGAGTCTGCGGCCTGGGGTCTAGGCCTATGCATGTGCATAAGGCAGGGCCGTGGCATACACACATACACACACACACACACACACATACTCGCACTCATGCACACACATATGAGCGCGCGATTTCTGTGGCCTTCGGTCATCATCTAATAACGCTTACTTCGAAACAATTAAGGAGGCATTAAAATATTTAAATGAATGAATTCGGCGTCCGACATGCGCACTAAACTGAGCTATGAGATGTGCCTGGCGTACAATAACAACAACAACAACAATAATAATAATAATAACAGCAACAACAACAATAACTCAACCACTCAGCTCATTAATCAATTAAAATACTTCGAAAAACAAGAAGAGACGTCTCTGGTTAAACTTAATTTTTTGGTTTGTATTTTTCTCGGCTTATTTTGTCCATTTTGGATTTTTGAAGCCACGCTGAGAAAGGCGGAACAAATAAAAATGTATGTACATATGTATGTACATATATAGATATAATGTTTCCCTATATATGTATGTATGTATTTAAGTACATACATACATATGTATGTGTGTAATGTATTGTGTAAGCAGACAGCCGGAAGGTTGAGCCGCCAGCAACTAGAGTTCTAAGCTAATCGGAAATCGTTTCAACTAGCGTTAAGCTCACAAACGAAAAGCATAAACTAAACGTACATACATACAAGTATGTATACATGTATAGTATACATTAATATTCGTCTAAAGTTCGTCTTCATTCGTTAGAAGAAGAACCAAAGCTGTATGTATGCGTGTATGTGCAGTATATAAAACACAGGCATCCAAAAATTAACGTATCGTATCATTAAATAATTCACAGCTTGTTAGAAAAGCAAGCAAAGGGAAAAACTGACGCTAAAAACCCCAACAAGATGCTAAAAAAAAAACACGGCAACAGCAACACCAACAACAACAACATCAGCAGCAGCAGCAGCAGCAAAAACAAAACAGAAAAAAGCCTTAAATCAAAATGGTAAGGAGAAGCCAGGCAGCAAAAAAGTATGTAAGGTAAATGGGCAACAAGAAATAATCCAAGCGAGCTCTCGAGGAACACCAACAACACCAACAACAACAATGGCAACAGAACGCAGTGGCCGGCCAGCGAGAACTTCGAACATCAACACAGCACTAACCGGGCAGCGGGCGACGACGGAGGATGGACAGAGGGACGGACTAGCGGACGAACGGACCGATGGACAGATGGAGGGACTGGCAGAGGGACGGACATCGAACGAGGCTGCCGATTCCACGAAAACTCATTAATTTCCAAGGATACCCAAGAGTGAAGCAGACGTACTTGGGCATATGTAAAAGAAAAAGTGAAAAAACATATTTACACACGGGCATACATACATACATACAGACATATATATGTACAGACAGACATGCATACATACATGGAGGCGCGCACACACACACACACACAGACGCAAGCACACACGCTGAAGAAATCGAATTGATCGAAGGAGAGAAGAAGCCTACACAGAAACATAAGCACACACACACATACACACAAACATATTAACAATCACACTCACTTGGCCACAACACCACATACAAAACATACATACAAATGGTTTTAAATGCCTCCATGGCCCGGCTCGATCGCCGAAGCGAAGCTCACAGTGACGTCGCATCTTTTGCAGAGGCCCCGGGGATTCTCACTAGCCCAACAAACACACACACACACACACCGCACACAACAATAACAACAACAACATTGCCTGAAAAATTCGTGTACTTAAGGCCTTGGTTTTTGGTAATTATGAGAACTGTGAGACGGCCTGCTAACAAGATCTGTGATTTTTCAAACATCTAAGTAAATACCTAATATGTACTCAATTATAGGCTAGAATGTATTATGGACCTTGTACGAGTACATGGAAGGAATGCATTATTATGACAGATTATGACTCGGCTTTTAAAGCAATGAAAAGTTGCATGTTTATAGGCTGGCTACATATATAGAGAATATATTTCGACTTAACTTTGTATTAATTAGAAAATGGAAATAAATCTGATGAGCGCTTTATACTAAACACCATGCATTATTTAAGACAAATAAATGTTTTCAAATATTTCTGCCAAGCTAGTCGAATTTATCGGTCTATTCGCTCGCTCTATGCGTAATATGAGGCTATGGATGTATTCCATTTTTCCACCGTCGGCTTTTTAACAGTAGTGTGATTGTTTCCTATCGCAGTGTCTCGTTTTTTAATGAAATAATTGTATGTTGGCACAATAACAAAAAATGAATGCTTAAAATATACATATGTATGTATGTATTACCAAGAAATATGAGAAGCCTATTATGAACAAATGAAGGATAACGCAAATATTTCTTTGTCGCCAGATATGGGGTTTAGAGTCTTGTTGCGCCAATAAAAATAAGTCAGACAATTGGATGCCATCTGTTTCATGGATAAAACAAATTATTATATGTACGTATACTCGAATATAAATATTTGCACTGAATATTTTGGCTGCGATTAATCTAATACTCTTTTACAATTGTTCTTTAACTTTTTATATTTCTCCATTTCGTTTAATTAAGTAGTAAAGGCTTTGCTGCCTGTACTCTTAACATTAAATTCATAATGATTTTAAGAAAATCGAATAAATTGAAATTGAAAAATTAATCAAATACTGAGAACGACAAATTCTCGCCGCCATTGACAAGTGTTATACAAATTGGCGAACTGCCATCACTAGCGTAGCTTCAACTTCAACTCCAACTCCGCAATTTCTAAAATGGCGACCCCTCTCAGAAACGGACACCACTGCGCAACTCTGGAAGATTGCGACGACGACGACGACGCTGGTAAGTGTGCACGTCGTCGTTGTCGTCGTCAGCGTAGTCGTCGTTTGGAACATTGTTCTGCAGAATCGCAGGGTAAAGAAGGAGAGGAAAAGCTCGTTAACTGTTTTGTTATGGACTTTAAAGTGTAGACGGCGACGCGATGCTAACGAGTTAAGTTCGGCGCACAGCACAGCACCGTCTCGTCGCAGACGCGGGCACTCAACATACATACATACATATGTACATGCAAACATACATACGACGATATACAAAACACAGAGGCAATACAACAACAAAAAGAACAACAACATCACATGTGTATACATTTTTTGTATGTATGTGTAAGTTGGTAAAAATATACACACATGTGTGTGTTATACAGACAAAGTTATGTACATATATCTACATACATATGTACACACATATGTAAGTATTTGCCACGGTTATGTATTGATATTGATTATACATAAATGGCTATGTAGGTATGTATATACATACATATACGTTTTGCATATGCTAACCGAACATAATTTGCCTTTAACGCATGCAATTCAGATTGAACATTGATTGCTAATAACACTTTCAATCTGACCTGCTGTCAAGCTTACACCGTATCGCAAAATTGGGAACGAGTGTGTGTGTGTGTGTTCGTGTGGGTGTATAGAATTTAAGTTGGAAAATATCGGCAAATACTTAAACTTTGTGCGACTTTGGTTTGGTACTTGGTACTTACTATGTCAACGCATCCATAAGAATGCTGTTGCCCATAATCCGCACAAGCGAAACCAACAACAGCAACAACAAAAATAAAAAAAATAAAAAATTAATGCATGCATGCATTATACAAATATACATACATATGCACATACATATGTAGATGCACATAAGCTTGCATCATGCATACATACATACGTATGTATGTATGTATTTACAAATGTGCATTCATATGTTTGTAGCCATTCTTTGTAAGTTCGCACACATACACGCAAATATATCTGCATAGACACACACACACACCCAGCGAGAGACGCACAAGCCGCCGCTGAACCAAAAGAAAGCAAAATTTAACTGAAAGAAACAACAACAACAATAACGACGAGAACAAGACTTCGAGGAAGAAGCAGCAGCAGCACAAGCAGAAGTAGAAGAAGAAGACTACTACGAGGAGGTGAAGTAGCGTGTTGGCGAAGCGATCTGCATCACCTTGTTAGCACTACGGGAACAATACCGAAGTTAAACTCAACGCAGCCGATTGTTTATCCACCCGCCCCCGTAACGTCCCTTAACACATCACCTTGATGACGATGACGATGATGATGATGGGCACACGAGCCCCAGAACCGACCGCATGTCTGTGTGTGCACACACGGTAATGGGTAATGGGCATGGGGCATGGGGAATGTATGGGGTGGAGGGAAACGGATGGGGTTGGGGATGGGTTGCATACACATCCACACAAACTGACATGCATGCATACATACATACATATATATGTATGTGGTTGGTGTCTGCACCGGCAGAATAACATTCGTGCTAAGGCCAAAACAATGCAAGGCCCCAATGTGCGTACAACACACATGCATCGGAAAGAAGAAGCAGAACAAGCACATGAAGACTCCGAAGACAAAGAAGAAGAATAAGCTACAGCAGCCACAGCCGCAGCAGCAACAGCAGCATGAAACCTAAAACGCGTTTGGGATCTCTCTGGCGCTCTTCTCGAAATGCTGCCAACAACGATCGTGCCTTCGAATCCAAGCTGCAAATGTTAATGAGCTTGCGAATTTTGCGCATTGCTGACCCCCTTCTAATTTGCTAAGCTCCAAGCTATATTCCCCCCTCCACATCCCTTCTCACCATCTGCGGAATCTGAAGAATATACAAAAGAACTGGTGGTTTTATAAAAAAAAAATCATATTTACACCTCCAACTTCGGGGGAAGAATAAATTCGATTCTAAAATTTATTTTTTATATTCAAACAAATCAAATAACCATCAAAATAAATCGCTTTCTATTTCGAATTACTTTAAATTGATTTCAAATAAAAATTATAACACTGTTGTCAATATCAATGCAAATTTTAAATATACAAGCCCCTTTGTTTTAATATTCTAACTTGCTTGAGTTTGCAACAAGTGCAAGTCCAGTTGTTCTTTAAATATTGCTGACCAACAAAAACTCTAGACAACCTCTAAATGTGAATTTTGAAAATTGTTCTAAGGAGATTGGTTCCACTTACCAAGATATATCTGCAATCGAAGTATGAACGAAACGAAAGTGTCAATTGTAATTGCCCTTTCTTTATAGCATATATCATAAATTGTAAATTATACATCTACATACATACATATGTGCATAGTATGTGTGTAAAATCTTATCGCTCAGTCGGGTACCGAGCGCGACAAGCGACCCACCGGTTATCAGCGCCCGCAACACCTACAGAATCAAATGCAACTACAGAGAGAATTAAGATAAACATTTCCCTTTATTTTTGTTTTGTTTGCTGTGTGTTTTTTTACAGCGCGCTTGTTTAAGAAATAACAAAACAAAAAACAACCGAAAAAACCAAAAAGTCCGAACGAACGATCGGATCGTGCGCTGATCGTTTGTTTGGGCCCTTTTGCTACGCCCATGCTCGTGCCGCATGCCCATTCCCCACTGCTTTGGCTCACCATGACTGAGCTCTTCTGCTTATGCTCGCTCCTACCTATACTACACACACACACACGCACACAAACGTACACACATGTGTGCTTGCAACGACATTCACATTCATATACATACATACACATGTACATACATATATATACATATTTACAGGCACATCAACATTTATAAGCGCATTGCGCATCCACACTTTATTTTTTTTTTGTGCCTTGTATGTATGTTTGTATAGTACGTATGTATATCCGTTTGTGTATCTGTATCTGCCGGGCTGTATGTGCCGTTGCGTTGGCGCGCCCGCAACTACCAACATCTTCGACATCGAAATCGGCCGACCGACTAAACGACTTAACGACCAACCGACCGACCGACAAATTCAGAGCAAAAACTTAAGTCCATGTGGTTCTGTTCGTCCTTCTTGCGCCAAAGGTCGAGAAACGCTTGGAACTTGTTACAGCTTGTTAGTAGATAGGAAGTCACAGACAGACAGACAGACATATATACATACATATGGACAGACTAACAGACATACATACATACATACTCGTACACACTCACGATATATCGCCGCCTTGTTTATGCATGCGTATCTTAAAAATAGGTGTCTATGCGATTCCAATACAAAAATCTAGTCATATAGCATATGTACGATATACATATATCTTTATATACATATATATATATATATAGATAGTTTTATGTAAACATGTTCAGTTAATGTTTTCTACTTACTGAAAACCGGGCTGTGATCCGGTCTTGTCACTGTCTTGCCACTCTTTTCCTGGAACAAGCCGATCATAAAAAGAGAGAGAGAGAGAGGGAGAAGAAAAAGCGTTGTTAAAACAAATACGAGATGCTATGTAGATAATAAACGGGTGCATTATAATTATCAGTCTAACAAGGGTATAAGAACAATCACAAGAAGAAGAAGAACTCTTACCTCACTCTCCGTTAAATCTATCAGGCTAGATTTTTCCTCGACCAGCAAATTCTCGGATGATATTTTCTCATCCTCACGATCACCTTCATCCTTGAAGATCTTCACCTCATCGGTGCTGCCTAAATCATCTCCGGATGATCCATGGCGTGTGTGTGTATGCGGCATTTTTTTACCGTAATTCAAGGCGATGGCGCCTCCCTCTTTTCTCTCTTTCTTCTTGCTCTGTGGTCTCTTAAACGTTCTCGATTGCGAGCGCCTTGTTGCCGCTATAATCGCTACTACAATTGGTGAACGTGCTCAAGAGTAAATTTATAACTATAACTAGATCGTTGAATCGCATCTGGATCTGGGCATCCTGGATGGCTGCGCAGCCATCCCTCGCTCTAAGCCCCCTTAAGCCCATATTCTGGCGTTTTAAGGGGCATCTCTCTGCACATCGACGATTTCACTTTGGCACTTCAACGCGATATTTGGCTACAGTATTATTGGCTGAAAGTAAAAACCAAATTCATTATATATATATATTTTATATACTTATGTACATGTAAATATGTGGCTAAATAAATAAATGAAAAGAAAGCTTTCAAAAAGATTGTAGTATGCGAAAAAAAAAACGACAAACCACAACTGATTATTTCCACTTCAATTCAGAATTCGACCCTTCCGGAACGAAGTGGCCAAAAGTTGTATAATACATTTCCATAGACTCGTATGCTTGAAAAATAGTTAGCAATCGTTGGGGTTTCTCATATTTGAAATATATATGAAATATACTTGTATAGTATATGAAAATTCGCAAATCTTTATAAAAATTGGCGATATTTACGAAGTCAGAAGTACCTGAATGACTCACACATGTATGTACATTATCAGCAAATATAGACGTATACAAGTATATTTCATTTCTTTCAGGCTTGTTAAACCTTTAATTTTTAGGCAGCTTATAACTATTCATAACTACAACTTTTTGCGGAAACAAAATGATTATTTCAAAGACATAAAAAATGGATTACACCTAAGAATTAAAAGCATAGCTTCGATTTTAAAATATTTTCATTCCTCTTCGAATGAAAGGCACACAATAATTGGCTACCAAGTTTTGATTGAATTGCAAACGAACTAGATTTTTAAAAACCTTAAAGACAAAATAGAAAATTTTTTAAAACAAGCGAGAAAATACCTCATATTTTTTTTCAATTCTTTCGATTTTCAGGAACAAAATTCTTGAAAGGATTCAAAAATGTTCCGTATAAAACAGAATTTAAACTACCATATACAGAAATTTCCATAACGATTACAATATAGTAAATGACTTGTTTGATTTATGTTGAAAATTGCTTTAAAAATTGTCTTCAAGTACTTGGTTATTATTTTTAATTTGAAATCAAGTTATCACCTTGTTCTTTGACAACTTTTTGTCCGCTACTCGAGTAGGGTGGACAATTTTCTGCAATGTACTTAAATCACAAACGGGACAGTCAATGCTAATATCAATATTCCACTCACAATACACGAATGATGCCAATCAAAGCGCACTATTATTGACTTACTATATATATATATATATACGTGTACAATTTAATGGAGAGTGTTTGCCTAACCGGGCAAAGTCATATGGCCATAATTAAAAGATAAGGAACAAATGATCAATACGTAGGTTCTTCGAAAAGTCTAACACGATACTTAAAAAACAAATTTACTCTTAACGATTGTGTGATTAGAGCCATATTGGTGTTCGTAAAGTCAATTCTCAATTTATTTCTTTGGTAAAAAAGACCAGTAACAAGTTTATGAACTGCTGAGTCCCGAATTCAGAATGGCCGAAGAAATCTCAGAAGACGGCATTCCCAGATGAAGAATTGTATTGAGCTCTGTTGTCATTACAAGACAAATTGGACTTGTGGTATTCCATATATTGCAATGCGCCAAATGTGCTGTGAATCGATTCTGTTTATCTCTCCCTGAACAGTATTTGTAAAAATATGAAATCCACTTATTATCAAGTTGGAGAGTAATGGCCAAGAAAGAGAGTAATGTCTGATATCAATTGTTGTTCAATCCTATCGATTGCTACGAGTATGTTCACAGCCAACCAACAATATGATTAATGGGAGCTGTAACTCAACAATAATTGAAACGGGAACTTGAGGTAAGGCCAGTGCTGGATCCGGATATCTGCATGCAACAGTGCGTAGTGCGGTGGCAGGAGATGGGGCAGGGGTAGGGGAAATGGGGCATAACACCAATTAGCAAAGAAAGGCCATTGCACAACGCACAAACTTATAATCTATATACCACAGTGACAGAGAGCGCGTCCGATATGGGAAACACACACATTGTTTATTGGTATAAATATTTTGTGTGCATGTGTGTGTGTGTGTGTGTACATTCATGTGTGTAAGATAAAAGCCTACTACTATGGATGAGTCGACGGCGGCGGTAAGCTGGCGGGTACGGAGTTCGTCCATTTAATCTTATCGCACAACAGTTTGTTGGCAAGTGGAGAGCGCGTGCGCCTCGCTTAATGTCACAGGGAGAGGACGCAACGCAACGCAGCCACAGAGAGAGAGAGGGAGTGAGAGAGAATTAATAACGAATTGTACGAGCCGTGCTTCTGTTTTTATCGAAGAACGGCGTCGCTTGCCCTTATTTGAATACCTTATTTTTTATAAAGGGTATTTTGAGTTTTGTAGAAGGACGCAACTCCCCATAATTTATATACATATTATAAATTATGTTGAAGGCCATGACTGTACGTCTGTATGAACGGCTAGATATCGCAAACGGCTGCATCTACCTTGACCAAACTTGGTGTGTAGACTCTTCTCATCGCTATGCAATATGAGTTTATTTAATTTTTTAAATTTATTTGCACATTGAATTTGTATGGAATTCTTTAATTTAATTTTTAATCTAAGACGGTTAGTTCTAAAAAAGGCTGCAAGAGCATATTCGATCCTTTTGGTTTTTTTTTTGGCATAACACAGCGTTGAAAGCTTTTTGTTGGGTTCAGAGTAATTCAGTGTCGGATTGGCTTGACTCTAGCATTATCTCATCTTCCTATTCTGCAATCATTGCTGGTGGAGTGGAGGATAGGCGGCAATTGAGTGGGCGGGTGGGTGGGTGCTTGGCTGCGATCCGTTGGAGAGCGAACGAGCTATAGAGAGTAAGGGAGAGCCGGCTGCAAAACGTGTGTGTGATAACAGCGTTTGGTGCACAGACATACCAGACACACACACACATACACACACACACACACTCATACACATGCTCATGTACTTACAGATACGACTTGAAAGAAATCTCTAGGATTTAGGAATGGCTTTTCTTTTCAACCAAACTATGTAATTGAAATTCACTTTAACAGCTTGCTGGAGTCTAACTGAGAGATCTATGGGTATGCGTGTGTATATGTACATACTTGTATGTATGTATGTGTGGGTGTGCAGACAGGTTTGTAATTTGCGTCGTTTTTGTTGTTGTCGCTCGCTGTTGTTATTGTCGTTGGCTATGTGTCACTGCTAATGCCTGAGAGCCTGATCCGTGACGTTTAACGAACAATGCTTTCATAAATATTTTGGTGGACCACAAAAGAGTCCTGTGTTAGGTACAATCTATTGGGAATGCCATAGAGAGAAAGAGCGAGGGAGAGAGAGAGAGAGAGAGAGAGGATGAAGACAAAGATGTAGACGACGAAGACGCTTAACGCACAGGTAGGGCGAGCGCGAACAAAGTGTAGGGAGGGAGGCAGTGCGCGTCATCCGCTTGTGTCCTAGTGTTTTATTTTGCAACTTAGCACGCCTGGAACCGAACCCAAACACACACACACACACACATACACACGCACAAAGGCAAACACAAATCTGTTGAAAAAAATGGCTCACATGGTCGACAGCGACAGCGACGTCGACGACAACTTCCTAGAAAACGACATGCAAGATCAATTCTCTTTCAGTTCCTCAGACTTGCAACACAGTCATAGTCTCACACACACACACACACACACAGGCACTCTCATCGACATACACAGACACGCACCTACAAATCGGCAGAGTCTAAGGGATATGCATACATACATACACATAACATGTGTATATATATGTGTGTATGTAAGTGTGTATGCAGAGATATGAAAACAGGAGAGCAAAAGATAACTATGACAATGTGTAGAGCTATTGGATCGGTCTCGTCGCCGACGTCGTCGTCGTCGTCGCCGTAGTTGCTGTTGTTGTTGTTGTAGCCGCTGCTGCTGCTGCTACCTGAGCAGAGGGCTGAAGAATTGAGAATGACCGGCGGAGCGACGCAGCGGCGGCGGCGCGATTTCCAGCAGATTGTTGTGTACTCGCAGCGGGAATCACTATTAGTTCAAGGTAACAACCAAACCAAACCAAACCCAAGCCACGACAACAACAACAACAACAGTAACACCACCACCAACCAGCAATAACAACAACAACAACAAGAACACTAATGACACAACGAGTTTCTATTTAGAGACATGATTGTAGATATCAACAGGTAGAGAAGAAAACGGCCGAAACTAAATAAAAACTAAGCGTAAAAGAGAATACAGAAAATTGTTCGTATTTTCAGCAAATAAATAAATAAACATTGAAATGTCTGTTGAGCGTCATGGTCTGTCTTTCTGTGTGTGTGTGTGTGTTTGCGTGTGTGTGTGTGTGTGTGTGTGTGTGTGTGTGTGTGTGTGTGTGTGTGTGTGTGTACTCTCCGCTTAGCCGGGGAGAGGTGAAGTGCTGAGGTGAGGCAAAACAGGGGGAAGGAGAGGGTGGGGGGAAGCTAGCATACCAATTATGTGGCTTAACGTATAGTTTTCGAGCTTGTTATTGAAAAACAAAAAACAGAAAAAACAAATTTGAATTCAACGCTTTAAGTGGCCCGGCTTAAAAGTAAATCGCCAAAAATTATCTTGCGCATGATTTGACTGTTCATTTCTCTCTTTTTCGAAAAAAAAACATACTTAAAAAAACCAATCAAGAAGCTTCTAAGCGTTGAAACCCATACAAACACATACACATCGTAAATACATACAAATGGACAGACAGAGAGGCGTATCGAAAAACTGGAAATAGTTTTAACTTCCAACAAACCAAAACATTTGTCAATGTCGTTTACAAGTTCTTGGTGGTATTTCAAATGAAATTCATAAAGTTCCGCCAGCATAACATCACTTCGATCGGTCTACATACTATACTCGTATGTATCTGGATTGTTGCCAACAAATAATATTTATATCATATTTATAAACATAGAGATCGTAAACTCTATATTTCAGGATAGCAAAGCATTTCAAATTACTCGAACGTTGTCAAAACTTCCTATAAATGGGAACTCTTCCCCAAACAATATTATTTAAAGTTAGAACACATGGAAGGAATTGTAAATTGTAGAAGCCAGGAATTTCAATTTTGTGCGTAGCGAAAAATGCAACATTCCTTTGTTAACTTTCAGAGAAGATTCACAGCATGGCATCACACAATATTATTATTTGTTTTTAAAATGATTTATGGCCGGCTTTTAAGCAATCCCGAGCTGAGAACTCTTTAAAATTCTGTAAGCAGCAGATATTTGAATGCATTTCAACGTTTCTAAGGTATAGATACTTATGTTAAGAGACAGTTAAAGAAATTCGTAATATTTTTAAGCAAAATCAGCTTTAAATAAAAAAAAACTTGAAAGTGGCATTGCAGCAGCGACAAATTATAAGAAAAAATTACAAATAATACAGAAGCTAGAGGAAGGAGCTTTAATTATGAAAAGTAATATTGAATTTCCTATAAATTGTATTTGAAATGAAGTCGGGAATAGAAATGAAATCAGTTTATCTAAATGTATACAAAAAATGTGATCGAGTCTTTATAATCGGACTCGCAGAATCGTTCACCTTAGCTTATTTATCACGAATATCTTCAATTGAGCAGAACGTTTATAAAACTAATATTTGAACTGTGTGTATATTGTATTTGAAATGAATGCAGGAATGTGAATTATACCGATGTGGCCATAGTCTGCATATGTACATATGTACATATATGCTCGTGTATCGTTGGCTTATCTCATACAATGTATATGTTTATGATCAAAATCAAAATCTTCGTGATCGGACCGGACCGAGTGGGCATAACAACTTGCAGACTCATTCACTTTAACTTTGACCAGAGCTGGAGGTGCAGGTAAAAATGTTAATGCCATAGCTAAGGATATACATATGTACAAATGTGTGTGTGTGTGTGTTTGTATCTACAAAAACAAATCGAATCGGCATGTAGAGAATATTCATTTTCGATGCGGCGATGCTCGTCAGGCATGTCCGGAAGTTCGGCGCTAACTCATAAATACATGCATTCACTCACACACACACACACATACACATACGTGTCTATATAGGCATGTCTATTTGTAAATACATAAATACATTGGCATTATGCACAAGTGTATATCTGCATCTATGTATCTGCATACATACATATGTATGTATGTACGTACATATGTACATATGTAGATGCAGAGATCGTATCTCTATCGCCGGCATTTTGTTATTTACGTAGCACTGTGGCCAAAATGTTTCATAAACAAAACTGAAGTTGACAGTAAAAGGCATTAATACTTACAATTCTTTAAGTTTTTTGAATGTTGATTCTGAATCTTGACTCGATTGTTGTTGTTCTTTCTTTCTTTCTTGCTTGCTTATTTTTTGTTGAATTCGAATTCGTTGATGTTGTTGTGGTTATTGTGGTAGTTGTTGTTGTTGTTGGTAAACACACAAAACTCTATCACTCTTCAATATAAAAAAATGAACAACAACAACATGCACGCGAGCTCGCTGTCTCCCGTCGGCAAAACAGGTTCTGGTTCTTCGCGCACGAGCTCCGCCTATGGGCACAAAAATAGGCAACAACGACAACAAAAAGACAAAAAAAAAATGCCACCACACATTGGAAACTTTTAGATGGTTATACTATTTTGTCACAACCGATTTAACAAATTTTCGCCAACATATATCCGCGTAGTTTGTTGGCAGGCTTTGTTTTATTCCATTCTATATCATCATCCATAATATCATTTATTTTTCATTCATCTTGTGTATAGGCGGCGGCGGCGCACACACATTCATATGTGCATTCTTTAGCGCTCACAGGCGCGCTGACACACACACGCACACGCGATCGCTACTCTACTGCTTACATATACATACACAAACGTTGCACAAAAAAAAAAGTATAAAAAAATTTCAGTGCTGATTTACATACACTTTACACTTGTGTGTGCTGGGTGTGTGTGTGTGTGCCGAGTGTGTGTCGATGTGTGTTCGCGTGTCTGTGTGTGTGTATGTATCTTATGATTTCATCAAGTCGAAGCAACAGCGACGCGATCCAACAGTTATTCTTCACCATACAGTATAAAACCCGCCGCGCAAATAATTGACAATATCAGTTCACTCTGTTGCTCATAAAAACAAACAAGCCGATAATGAAGCATGCGTTTTATCAAATATTTTTTGTGAAACAGGCAATATCCACCGTTTTAACTGTTTTTAATTTCAAAATGTTTCAAAGTTTCAAACAAAACAGCCGCACGCGCGCACCGCTCTGCACTGCACCGAAATATGGACTGAAAGTGATTCGCTATATCTCTCGCTGCGGAAGTTATAGACACTCGCTTCTTCGAAACAGCTGACTGTATACTCGGTACTTTGAATAACTTTCAGCTGTTACATAGTGTAGAGCGTCAATACTTTGAAGTGTATAATACGGCTATCGATAGTTTGGATATGCTGCAGTTTCGATGTGCGTGATTAAATATCGATAAGAACGCACAGTGAATGGCAATTGCGCAAGGGCTGCCAACGCATATCTTTAAAGACACCATCAGGAAAACAAGTTAGAAGTTAGAAAAAGCTAGACAAGCCATTATCAATGAAATCTTATTTTTTATTATTTCTATATTTTTCTCATTCCCAAAAAGTTTCTACCAGCTTTCAACTTGTATTGAGAAACCCTTAAATTATTATTATAATATAATTGGTACAAGTTTGTCCTCCGACCACAAGCATTGTAACAGCTTTACTTTCATATGTACATACAAAAATATCATATAACACATTATTTAGAAAGATTAAAAAAAAACCTCACATAACTCAGAGATCATACAAATTAGGATGCGAAATAATACTATATAAAAACTGCATTATAAATACATACTACACAGTATGATTCTAATATGACACGCAGCAAGAAGTCACGCTGCGGAATGTTAATTTTAAGCTGCTAAAGATTATATATATTATATATATTATTATATATGTACATACAAAAATATCATATAACACATTATTTAGAAAGATTAAAAAAAAAACCTCACATAACTCAGAGATCATACAAATTAGGATGCGAAATAATACTATATAAAAACTGCATTATAAATACATACTACACAGTATGATTCTAATATGACACGCAGCAAGAAGTCACGCTGCGGAATGTTAATTTTAAGCTGCTAAAGATTATAAAAGAGACTGAGAGTCTACATAAGATGAGAAAGTTGTTTCAGGTGCAACTTTACATTATAACATTAAAAAAACGGCACAGTACAGTTAACGAGCCAAATAAACTGCTTACAACAATAATTCCCGACTGAGGTGGCGGGGAAAAAGCTATGCTGGCAACTCCGATTAGTGTCGTGCAAGTGAGGGGCTGCCAACTGGTTTTTTCTACATCCCCCCCAGTATAAAGAAGGTCTACGGTCTTTTCCGACTTCTAATTAATCCAATTTAGTGCTATATTTCTCCCAAATACGCAAAATGTTCGACGACGCAGACAATTTTGCAGATATATTTCGGGGCGGACTACCTTACTGCCTCCTCATAGCCCTGCCCATATTAATACTCTGCACGCCGGCTGCATTGGCCAGCGACCTCCAGGTTCAGCGCATGGCCCAGTTCGATATAAATGGAGTTAGTCTTGGTACGTAAATGAAAAAGTCACTGATTACCTAATTGGTTAGTGCCAACTTGTTGGCCGGACGACGGGCAACATTAAAACCAATACCTATGCTCGACCACATTAAGAACAAACGAGCTGTCACAAGATTTGCATCAGAGTGAAAGCTTATGAATTAATTAGCGCACATTTATTTACCAACACAAATTTTGCAGGTTGTCGAGCATCTGCCATATCCCTAGAAGCCAAATCGCTTTACACATGGAGCACCGGTCGCCATTGCGTCCTCGCAAGGTATATATAGTTGCTATGTTCCGGAGAGATATATGGTGATAGACTTGTTTTTAATTGCATTCAATTTTAGGCTTCTCGACATTTCTGTGAATGACTTTAACAAAATACGACAAAAGGCGGGCGGACTGATTGTCCTGCTGCCCAACAATCTGCTGGCGCTGTCTGATGAAGCAAAGGAACAGGTGAATGCGCTCGAGCAGGCTATGCTCACGCAAGCAGTTCCAGTACCTGTGTACTTCTCAGCACCCAACAAGTATCTGGAGCAGATAGTGGACGACATAACCCACACAATCGACGACAATGGCAGCAAGAAGCAAAACGATACAGCAATTGCACAGCTGTTTCTGTCCATATCAGCCAATGGCTATCAAGTGACTGTGTCCGGAGCGAACGCTGTGGCGAATAAGAATAGCAAGATCTCTGTCATTCAGGGCGAACTCTTGTCAAACCAATACGTTCCTAAACGCATGGAAGGTACCGACGATTATAACAATTTGCCAGTCATTCTGATAACGGCGAATCTGAAGACCTTTGGTATTTACAATGTAAGTTGAGTCTCTTAAGTCTAATTTCGTGAAAGTACCTGGAATCTTGTGTTTTCTGTTCGCAGGACTACCCACTAAATGCCGATGCAGCCATACTAATGGGACTCATTGAGTTGTTCAGCAAACTGCATTCAGTCATCAGTACTACCCCAAAGTATCGCCTCGTTTTCTTGCTGTCTGAATCTGGTGTGCTACTGAATTTCCAGGGCTCCAAGAAGTGGTTGGACGATAATGTAGTGCTGCAGGTAATTTTATTCCCAATGGGGTGCTTCGACAAGTTTCTTAGAATGCCATGGATGGTTTTAATTACACATACCACCTTATGAAATTGTTCACCTTATTAATGTTAAATCAATGCCCCAGGACGATCTTGTGTCCATAAATGGCAATTTATTGGCTCTACAAAAAGAGGACAGCTTTTTATCAGAGGTTGGATGAATAATTTTCTTTAACATAGAAATTTGAAAATTGCTTTGTGTGCCCGCGCTAGAAACTCTACATATTACCTGCATACTCGTACCATACACATAATATATTTAACAATAATATATATCTTTATCGAATTGCGCAGAATGTGGAGTTTGTGCTGTGCTTGGACACAATCACTCAGAGCTTGGCCTACAACCAGCAGAATGTTATGTACATGCACGTCTCCAAACCACCAAAGGAGAAATCCTCGATAAGCAATTTCTTTAAGCTGCTCAAGTTGGCCGCCGGAGAGCACGTGGAGAACGTCACTGTAGAGGGAGTGCACAAAAAGATCAACTTGGCTGACACTCAACTGGCTTGGGAGCACGAGCGTTTCAGCATGAAGCGCTATCCCGCCTTTACACTGTCGTCCGTCAAAAATCCTAGGAGTCCGATGCGTACTTCCATGTTTAAGGATAACGAAGCGCGTATTATATCCCAGACACTCACATCGGCGAAGATTATCGCCGAGGCCCTGGCCAGCTATATATATAATATTGATCAATACGCTGGAATTTTCGATGGGCATATTGTAAGTGAGAAAAATAATATTAATTGCTTTCCATTGATCATTTTTAATATGTTCCCATAGGAGATAAATGAGGAGATTATTCAACCCTATTTGGGTGTAAAGTCGGTATTACAGAACAGCGATATCAAGGACGGGTTCGAGAAATATCTGAAAAATGTCAAAATCATATACGACAAGCCGGATGCTCGTGAGCCCGACTTTATGTTCTACGAGGGACACGATGCAAAGTTAAATGTTTATAGAGTTAAGCCGGCTGTCTTTGACCTGTTCCTCACCTTTGTTATTGCACTCTATCTCTCGATAGTATATTTTGTTATACAATATTTCCCCAAATTTTACGATGTCGTTTCCAAATTCACAAAAGCGGAGCCTTCGACTCAGCTCAATGGGAACTATTCGGAACGGGTCAAAACGAAGGTTAACTAGTGCCCCTACCCCGGAGTGGTGTTTAGTCATGCAAATGGGAAACATAGCCAAATAGATCGAGGTCCAACAACAAATAAATTGTCAATATTTTTAATATGGAAGGATTATACGAAGGGTAGTAGTAAATTTCATTTTGTTTTCAAAAAGTTGGCCACTCTGCCAATTGTTATACATAATACTGATGTGTAATAAAGTTCAGCATTACATTGTACCTATGTGATTGGTTTATTTTATTATAGATTATATTATTCTACTCTTATAGAATAGAAATAGATAGATATGCGTGCCAATCATACAATTATTTTATATTAAAATGTGTGCGCGCAGTGCCCTGTCGACACCTTGCGGTATAATATGGGAGCACCATCTATCAGCGGTTACACGCAACTATTACCAGCTGACGCTGCCTGTCAAAAAAGATAGTGCTTGAAATACCCATACTCAACACTTATCGATAGCTTACGCTTTAATTTAATTATTTCCATTAATTTTACTTTAAGTCTATAATAACAGCTCACATACAGCAAAGATAATTCAATAATATGTAAGTAGAGACGATTCAGCACGAAATAAGGCGTAATAAAAGTGCAATTAGCCTATCGAGACCGCTATCGGCTATCGATTATTCTTTATGCCGGCGTTTTTGCACACTAATTTACACTATTTCCGCCAGAGTCAACGTGATTCGGCCTTTTCCTGTGTAAGCGTTGAAGATGGCGGTCGGCAAGAATAAGGGTCTCTCCAAGGGAGGCAAAAAAGGTGGCAAAAAGAAGGTTGTTGATCCCTTCTCGCGTAAAGATTGGTACGATGTTAAGGCACCTAACATGTTCCAAACGCGCCAAATTGGAAAAACACTCGTGAACCGCACCCAGGGCCAAAGAATTGCCTCTGACTATCTAAAGGGCCGCGTTTTCGAAGTGTCGCTCGCCGATTTGCAGAAAGACATTGATCCAGAGCGTTCTTTCCGCAAGTTCCGCCTCATTGCTGAGGACGTGCAGGACCGCAATGTTCTGTGCAATTTCCACGGCATGGACTTAACCACCGACAAGTACAGGTATGTACATACGTGAAAACTTGGATGTTATGTACATATGCGCGTGTTTGTATGTTTGTGTCATCAACGATTGCTCGCATGCATACATGTGTGCGTGTGTGTATGTACGTACCTAAAAGCAAATGCAGTGACAATGTGTACAAATAAATAATTTTGGCAAACAGGTCGATGGTCAAGAAATGGCAAACATTGATCGAAAGCATCGTCGAGGCCAAGACTGTCGATGGATACCTTCTGCGTGTATTCTGCATTGGTTTCACCGCAAAGGACCAGCAGTCGCAGCGCAAAACCTGCTATGCCCAACAGTCGCAGGTGCGTAAGATTCGCGCTCGCATGACGGACATCATCACAAACGAGGTGAGCGGCGCCGATTTGAAGCAATTGGTGAACAAACTGGCTCTGGACTCCATCGCCAAGGACATCGAGAAGAGCTGCCAACGCATCTATCCCCTTCACGATGTGTACATTCGCAAGGTTAAGGTGCTGAAGAAGCCGCGCTTCGACATCTCCAAACTCTTGGAATTGCACGGTGATGGTGGCGGTAAGAGCACCGAAGCTGTTGTGTCCGCTGAGGGCGCTGTCATCGATCGTCCCGAGGGCTACGAACCACCCGTACAGGAAGCCGTTTAATAACTTGAAAAAGGCGATCACATTATATATTTTTTCCATTTCAAACAATACGCTGTAGCCTCAAAGTCAGCGATTTTCTTATTGAATACATAGTAACTACGTTTGATGTAGAAAAGAAAATATTTCACGCCTTTACTTGATACACGTGCGGGTTGCTGTCATTCCATGGCAGCGGGGTTTCCCCTCTCTTTTATTCTCATTTCAGCTTTTCAGGAATTACAATGGCTATGCATGGAAAAGGTGAGTTAAAATATCAATATTCAAAACTTTTAAACGATATGTGGCTATAAAATGATGTGTTTTTATTTTTCGTCGCTGATGTTTTGTTGATGACAGAATTGTGGCTGATTTAAGATCGCATTGTGCTATATGCCCGCAGAAATAATAGTAACTAATTCTATTTCAAATTCTATCTCTTATTTCAGGAAACTTTCATATGGAAGCGCATACGCCAGTTATAAGATGTTTGTTACTTCGGTATGCTGTTTGCGTTTAAAATAAGTGTGGATAAAATGTATTAACACGTGCGATCTACCCTTCTCTTTCAGGCACCCACAAACGCTATGTGGTCATAAGAAAGAGAGAGAGAGCGAAAGAAAAGTGCACAAGGTGAGTTGAGACAGCATGATCGAGGGAGACCCACACAGTATCTTGTGATGAAAAATTATTTGGAATTCGATTCAACCGTGATCATTATTCAGCAAGATAGTAGAACTGATATTGATGCCCAAGGAAATATGTATCACACATAATTAATTGGGCAGACTCCCCACTAGATCTGCATTCCCATTCAATTACCAACGTGTGTAATGAATATTTTTGAATTTCAGATGCTGGGCCGAGCATCAACTGGATTCTGCCAAAAATTCTGGAGGTAAGTGGAAAAATAATCCGAATATTGGATGTTTATTTTAACTTTCCTATGATGACAACTTACCCAGCTCGCTTCGACAAACCATGAAGAAAACTGTTCCATTACCAACGCAAAAATAAACCACTGATAAAAGTTCTATTGAATCCTATCCTACTTATCCATAAAATAAAATGGATGATTATGTAATAACTAAGTACCTTTTCCTTCCTTACAGATAATCAATTTATTATTTTAAAAGGAGACAGCATTAGGAAAAAAGGTGTGTATTTCTTCAAATATATTTTTTATTTATTTCTAAGTCGCCTTAGCTTCAATGATGATTTGCCTACGGATTCCCCATCATTTGATTGATAAATGAATATGTATTCCACTGATTGCGTGCTTTTGCAACATAAAATAGAGACACAGTTCATTTTAACAATAAAGTAACCTAATATTGCTTCTACTATTTATTTCAGATTTAAAAGGAAATCTTCTGAAGAAAGCAAACGGCCATATGTGTTTTTTATGCTGCCACACTTCGGTTAGCTATGTTAAAAGCAGCAGCATTATCACACAAGGTATGTATCTTGAACTCGTTTTTTTAATTTGAGGATTGCTTTAGCTTTAATGATGATTTGCCTACGGATTCCCCATCATTTGATCGATAAATGAGAATGTATTCCACTGAAAGCTGTCAATTCAATAGAATTTATAGAAACAGTCTTTCCTAAATATAAATTAACCATAAATATCGTTCTTTTTAACTCCAGATTTGACAAGTGGACAATTGGCCTCTGGAGCTAGAAAGGTATGTAATACTTTTTATATAAACACACGGTATTAAAAAATTCGAGTCAGGCAATCAATTTCGGTTTGATTTCCTGCCACCAACATTTTATATGATGACAACTTACCCAGCTCGCTTCGACAAACCATGAAGAAAACTGTTCCATTACCAACGCAAAATTAAACTGCTGACAAAATTTCTTTTGAGTCCTATCCTACTTATCCAGAAAATAAAATTGATGATTATGTAATAACTAAGTACCTTTTCTTTCCTTACAGATAATCAATTTATTATTTTAAAAGGAGACAGCATTAGGAAAAAAGGTGTGTATTTCTTCAAATATATTTCTTATTTATTTCTAAGTCGCCTTAGCTTCAATGATGATTTGCCTACGGATTCCCCATCATTTGATTGATAAATGAATATGTATTCCACTGATTGCGTGCTTTTGCAACATAAAATAAAGACACAGTTAATTTTAACAATAAACTAACTAATAATTGCTTCTACTATTTATTTCAGATTTAAAAGGAAATCTTATGAAGAACAGAAACGGCCATATGTGTTTTTTATGTTGCCACACTTCGGTTAGCTATGTTAAAAGCAGCAGCATTATCACACAAGGTATGTATCTTGAACTCGATTTCTTATTTGAGGACTGCTTTCGCTTAAATGATGATTTGCCTACGGATTCCCCATCATTTGATTGATAAATGAATATGTATTCCACTGATTGCGTGCTTTTGCAACATAAAATAAAGACACAGTTAATTTTAACAATAAACTAACTAATAATTGCTTCTATTTATTTCAGATTTAAAAGGAAATCTTATGAAGAACAGAAACGGCCATATGTGTTTTTTATGTTGCCACACTTCGGTTAGCTATGTTAAAAGCAGCAGCATTATCACACAAGGTATGTATCTTGAACTCGATTTCTAATTTGAGGACTGCTTTCGCTTAAATGATGATTTGCCTACGGATTCCCCATCATTTGATTGATAAATGAATATGTATTCCACTGATTGCGTGCTTTTGCAACATAAAATAAAGACACAGTTCATTTTAACAATAAACTAACTAATAATTGCTTCTATTTATTTCAGATTTAAAAGGAAATCTTATGAAGAACAGAAACGGAACAGAACAGAAATATGTGTTTTTTATGCTGCCACACTTCGGTTAGCTATGTTAAAAGCAGCAGCATTATCACACAAGGTATGTATCTTGAACTCGAATTCTAATTTGAGGATTGCTTTAGCTTTAATGATGATTTGCCTACGGATTCCCCATCATTTGATTGATAAATGAATATGTATTCCACTGATTGCGTGCTTTTGCAACATAAAATAAAGACACAGTTAATTTTAACAATAAACTAACTAATAATTGCTTCTACTATTTATTTCAGATTTAAAAGGAAATCTTATGAAGAACAGAAACGGCCATATGTGTTTTTTATGTTGCCACACTTCGGTTAGCTATGTTAAAAGCAGCAGCATTATCACACAAGGTATGTATCTTGAACTCGATTTCTTATTTGAGGACTGCTTTCGCTTAAATGATGATTTGCCTACGGATTCCCCATCATTTGATTGATAAATGAATATGTATTCCACTGATTGCGTGCTTTTGCAACATAAAATAAAGACACAGTTAATTTTAACAATAAACTAACTAATAATTGCTTCTATTTATTTCAGATTTAAAAGGAAATCTTATGAAGAACAGAAACGGCCATATGTGTTTTTTATGTTGCCACACTTCGGTTAGCTATGTTAAAAGCAGCAGCATTATCACACAAGGTATGTATCTTGAACTCGATTTCTAATTTGAGGACTGCTTTCGCTTAAATGATGATTTGCCTACGGATTCCCCATCATTTGATTGATAAATGAATATGTATTCCACTGATTGCGTGCTTTTGCAACATAAAATAAAGACACAGTTCATTTTAACAATAAACTAACTAATAATTGCTTCTATTTATTTCAGATTTAAAAGGAAATCTTATGAAGAACAGAAACGGAACAGAACAGAAATATGTGCTTTTTATGCTGCCACACTTCGGTTAGCTATGTTAAAAGCAGCAGCATTATCACACAAGGTATGTATCTTGAACTCGATTTGTAATTTGAGGATTGCTTTAGCTTTAATGATGATTTGCCTACGGATTCCCCATCATTTGATCGATAAATGAGAATGTATTCCACTGAAAGCTGTCAATTCAATAGAATTTATAGAAACAGTCTTTCCTAAATATAAATTAACCATAAATATCGTTCTTTTTAACTCCAGATTTGACACGTGAATCCATAATCGCAAGACCTGATGAAACCAAATTTATAATGCAATTGGCCTCTTAAACTAGAAAGGTATGCAATACTTTCTATGTAAGCGCACGGTATTAAGAAATTCGAGTCAGGCAATCAAACCGCAATAAACTCAACTCTACAATTACAATAGTCACTCTGAATGCCTAAGCACTCGTTTATGAAGCGAAGCCTTGAAAGATTTGATGTTTTACATTTGGGAGTACATATGTAATTCAATTTCGGTTTGATTTCCTGCCACCAACGTATATGATGACAACTTACCCAGCTCGCTTCGACAAACCATGAAGAGAATTGTTCCATAACCAACGCAAAATTAAACTGCTGATAATAAATACATTTAATTGTATTCTATATATTTTTCTCTCAAAAATTCATATTTGTGCAATGAGAAGATAACCAATGTTTTTGTCTTATTTTTTGCAGATAACAATAAAGCCGAACAAGCAAGAAAACTTACCAACGAAGGTGTGTATTTTCTCAAGCTTACTTTTTTGTATAGAAGGTTAAATATTTTTGATGATTTGGATACGGATTCCCCATCATTTGATCGATAAATGAGAATGTATTCCACTGATTACTTGCCTATGCAATGGAAAATATAGAGACAGTTCCATTCAAAATATGAACCATCTAAAGGACCATTTTCATTTACATTTCAGATGGAAATTAAATCGTATGAAGAAAGGAAACGGCCACATGTGCTTCTCATGTCATCTCTATTTATTGAGGAATGGTAAGTTTACACCCAAATCTAAGAAAAAGTTTACATTTTCTAAGTGATGACCAATTTTATTATTTGCTACTCTTGAAGAGTTTTTGATGAAACTTTACACCTTAACAACTGAAGCAAAACTTAGATTTTTAGTAGCTTTTCAAACAAACAGATACCATTATCTCAACAATATTACTATTTCTAGATATGGGAATTCTATAAAATCGTCATATCAAGATGGGGGATCGCTGACTTCTATCAAGAACTCGCAAGGTAAGCGCAATATATTCATAAGCACGCGTATTAATATAGGTATATTTATGGAAATAGTCCATTGAGTATATATATTTTTATATGCACAAGTATGTGTGAGAAAATGATGACAACTTACCCAGCTCGCTTCGATAAACCATGAAGAGAACTGTTCCTTATCCAACGCAAAACTAAACTGCTGATAATATTGCTATTGACTTGTATTCTGTATTAATATTTCTGTTATGGAACAATAAATAATTTGTCAATTTTTTTTTTACAGATAACTTTACTGAAACTGTTTGAAGAGGCGAATATCTCAACAAAGGTGTGTATAGGTTAATCTCTTATTTTTTTAATATAGGTTTAATAATTATGATGATTTTTTCACGGATTCCCCATCATTTGATCGATAAATGACAATGAATTCCACTGATTGCTTATGCTCTATGCAATAGATATACAGTTCCATTCAAAACATGAACCATCTAAAGGATGATTTTCATTTACATTTCAGATTGAAATAAAAGGCTATACATATGGTGTGCTGCTTAAGTAGTCAGTTTTTCTAGGGGAATGGTAAGTTAGTTTCCATGTTCGACAAATACTACAGATTTCTCTCATGTGATGACTCTTTAAATTATTTGCTACTCTTGAATAGTTTCTGATGAAACTTTACACCTTAAAAACTGAAGTAGAATTTGTTGTTTCACAAATTGCTTTCAAAAATTAGAAATAGCTCCTAACCTAGCTTCAATATTCAATTATTTTTAGACACCTTCCAGAAACATCATTTGCATATTAGAAGGGGACTGACAAATGGAAAAGGAATGGCTGATATTCTTCCGTAAATCGCAAGGTAATTTGAAAGCACATATATATTTATTACTTGTAAGCACATGTGTGTGAGAAAATGATGACAACTTACCCAGCTCGCTTCGACAAACCATGAAGAGAACTGTTCCTTATCCAACGCAAAACTAAACTGCTGATAATATTTCTATTGACTTGTATTCTGTATTAATATTTCTGTTATGGAACAATAACTAATTTGTCAATTTTTTTTTACAGTTAACTTTACTGAAACTGTTTGAAGAGGCGAATAACTCAACAAAGGTGTGTACAGGTTCATCTCTTATTTTTTTAATTCCCCATCATTTGATCGATAAATGACAATGAATTCCACTGATTGCTTATGCTCTATGCAATAGATATACAGTTCCATTCAAAACATGAACCATCTAAAGGATGATTTTCATTTACATTTCAGATTGAAATAAAAGGCTATACATATGGTGTGCTGCTTAAGTAGTCAGTTTTTCTAGGGGAATGGTAAGTTAGTTTCCATGTTCGACAAATACTACAGATTTCTCTCATGTGATGACTCTTTAAATTATTTGCTACTCTTGAATAGTTTTTGATGAAACTTTACACCTTAAAAACTGAAGTAGAATTTGTTGTTTCACAAATTGCTTTCAAAAATTAGAAATAGCTCCTAACCTAACTGCAATATTCAATTATTTTTAGACACCTTCCAGGAACATCATTTGCATATTAGAAGGGGACTGACAAATGGAAAAGGAATGGCTGATATTCTTCCATAAATCGCAAGGTAATTTGAAAGCACATATGTATTTATTACTTGTAAGCACATGTGTGTGAGAAAATGATGACAACTTACCCAGCTCGCTTCGACAAACCATGAAGAGAACTGTTCCTTATCCAACGCAAAATAAATTGCTGATCAATTCTTATTTAAGATAAAATGAAACAAATCATTTATATGAATGTTAACTATGTTTTTTATACTCTAGTTTCAGATACTTGCTATATGGATGATGGTGTATCGGCTAAGGCCTAAGGTATGTATTACCTCTATGACCATGGACTCTACATAATTTAAACGATAATAGATACCAGTATTGTGCCCAATAGCCAACTTCATATGTATTTTAGCTGCATAATTTTTAGGTATTTTTATGTTCTGTCTGTATAAGGTTTGTGCAAAATATGTAACAGGTAGAAGTTGTATTTTCTTTTTCATTTTTCTTCTGTTATGGGCGCATATAACTCAACGCCCTAAGTTTGTTGTTCTCTCTTGTTTTAATTGTGATTCAAGCTGGTTAAAACTGATAAACAAAAAATACAATATCCATATAACACGTACATACGTACTTATATTTATGCACATATGCTGATCAAGATTAATATTACATGAGTATACCACACCTCCATTAGGTTGTTACAAAAGCATTTAGCACAGACGGCATTGAAAAGAAATGAGAACAAAATATCCGATGTTTTTTTTTATACAGAGTATTATTTCGTAGGTACTTGAGCTTTCCTTTTTAACAATAAAATGTAGTTTCTAAAAAGATTGCGTTTTTTTTCTCAAATTCTATTTATAATAAGTTTTCAGTACAGTGTAATAAGCATACAAAGTACATTGTGAATAAGTTAAGATATTATTTGTCTTTAAATACATGCATTTGTTGTTTGGTTGCAAAGATAAGATAACATAATATTATTAATTCTATATTCTAGAAATCTGAAACAGCGAAACACTGAAGTTTTTTGTGAATTGTATGGATTTATATCACTGAGACTAAACCGTCGCTTTCAAAAACATCCCCAGATCAGAGATCAGTTATGATGTCTATATGGAACTGGATCAGCGTGAGGAAGCTTTTAATAAATAGCACTTACGTGATGTTTTTGTTGACAATAAAATGTTTTGTAAATTATACTCAAAATATACATACAATAATAAATGATTGTCGTATATATATATATATATATATAAACTATTTTATTTCTATCTAAAGTTGTTCGTATAAAAATCTTGCAATTAATTAAAAGTGTCGGCTAGGAACAGCTACATCCCTCCACGGACATATTTGGTATAACACTCAACACTAAGTTGTGGTTGTAGTCAAAATACAATAAGCTTAAGGAACTCATTTTAGTTGGGGAGCAACATGGAGATGCAGACGTTGTCAGGGATGCCACGTGGGTGTGGGGGTATTGCTCCAAAAAGCCAGCGTTGCAATCACCGCTGCAGAAGTAGGCGTCAAAGGATGTCGGTGCAACGACGAATTGCCAGCCGAAAGTTGTGAAGTTAACTTTCAAGGGATATCGACAGCAACGCACATCCTGATCGTTCTCTGCACAGTCCATATAGATGCTGCGTTTTCTGCGATGCTTCTTCTGCGATCCGATTTCTATGTGAACCGTCTGTGGGGGAAATAACCGATAAAATTCAATTATGTTATGAGTGATGAATGAGATATAATAGGGTATTGACAGATTTTGGTTTACCAGTGGATTTTTCGAGGTGTTGTCCGTGGTCACAACCAAGGGTTTCATCCATGATTCCACGCCTTTTATCAATATTTCCTGTGATTTATTGGGTCCATTCATGGACCGACCAAACAGCGGCTTCAGATCAATATTAACCCATTGACCGAGTCCTGTTGGAATCTTGTGCCGGAATTCCAGCACTTTGGCTTTGTGAGTGATGTTTGTGCTATTTCCTCGGCGTATGGCACGATGGACGGACACAACTATATCCCTTTGCCGTTGCGGCTCTCCACCGATCTCTTCGAACAGTTCGGGCAAGTGTGTGCTTATCCAGTCCCAGCCACGCAAATATAAATGCAAAGTGGCGTAGGATATATCCGAGTAACTGCTGTCGAATTTAAAGCGCAGAACATCCGCCTTGCGATTGTGACGCATATGGGGCTCTACATCAAAAGAATATATATATATATACAATCGTTTAAAATTGATTTCTTTAAAGGATTCAGCTGTTATTTCTCAAAATCAAATTAATGGACTCATTAAATACTCGCAAGCTCGATTTAAATCGGATGCGCACAGATTGAAAAATACTCAACCTTAACTGATCTTAAAAATGTCATTGAGTTTTGGAAATTTTAAGCCTGTTCCCGTTTCCGAATTAGATTGATTTCGATTCCACATAATTTGATCAAATTTGGAAACAAGATCACGAATAAAAAGATATGGAATAAAAAATATGTACATAAAGATGCATCGAAAAAGTTCCATTAAAACTATATTTAAAGCTATTAATATCATCATCATGTATTTACCGCAAATATGAAATACAGTATTTGGAATTGTTTTCACTTTTTTAGGAGTCTATTACTATTTGAATCAAACAAATACACCTTATTCTGTTTTTACACGGTTTTAATTTAACGAGGATTGAAAATTACAAATTTTCTATATGGTAACACGACTTTATTCCATTTAGCACGATTCAAAATAACATAAAATAAATAATTAAAAATACATACAGCTGAAGAATAGCTAGAAACCATTCTTATATGGGTCGTTATGCACATTATATACTTGTAGTATGTGATTTAATAAAATAAACATAAATCCTTGCTTTTTCACTGATTTTAATAGGTTTTAGAGATAAGGAACCAATCACTTATTTTTGCATATGATCAATGTCTTTTACACGGTTTTTTGTTTTTTTTGAACTAATCTACCGTGTAAAAACAGAATTAGGTGTATAGAGATAACAGAAAGGCAAAATTATGTTTATCGTCAGATCTGGTTTTCTTCCCAGCATTATAGTTGAGAAACATTCGCTGCAGACAGACAGGCCCACAGAACTTTGTTCTAGCAAAAAATTATCGGTTTGTATAGAATTGGTATTGTTTTCGAGGCATTACATTCATATAATAGTTGTCTGAGCGAAGCTTTCCCTTTACATAAGAGGAATTCTCACACTTATAGTTGTGACTAAAATAAGTATTTTCGCCTTTCTCTCCAATACAGTATACACGTACGAGTATGTAATAGAAACTATTTTGAGACGCCAAAGGGATAAAAGTGTTTGATTATTTACTTACGTTCTGGAAATACATAAATGCTGTTTATGTGTGAGAGAATGCTGTCGTATTCCTCTTCGTCATCCGGTTCAAAATGTTTATCATTTGCTGCGGTATTTTCGCGGCCATCGAGACCAAATTTAGAGATCCATTTATATTCGTTAAAGGCATTAGCATCATCACTTTGTTCTTCAAATTCAGTATTTCCACTGTCCGATATATATTCGCGACTTATTTCGGCAACATTTGATGTAACATCCGACTCGGTGGCTGATGTAAAATATTCCTGGGAATTGGAGAGTCCATTTCTTGGACTTGTGCTGCCGCTGGCGCTACCGCGACGCCAGACAGAGCCCGACGATAAAGATGCATTATAGTCTTTGTAAAACTTTTCCAAAATATTTTGTGGCACTTGAATCGGTTTGGTTATATTGGGTAGTTTCTTAAGATTCAATCGCATCAGAATGTGCATCTTGATGGACTCCAAACTATCTTGTTTTGCCTTCTCGCGCAATTGACGCTGCAACATATTATCGCCACTAATCAGGCTGTTTCGATTCATGCTGACGCTGCGACTCGAGAAAGATCCCCCCGACCGGCCAGTCGCCAAGTCAACTTTTGATGAGTGTGCTGATGAAGCTGATGCTGATGATGATGAGGCTGGAGCTGCTGATGCTGCTGCTGCTGCTACTGCTACTTCTGCTTGTGTAGGCTCTGGGCCAAATGTCAATTCCTTATCGATGACACTCTGTACGTCAGCTGGAGGAGACCTGCGATCTGAATCACTATTCCTATTGCTATTGGCATCGACTTTGTCCGTCGCACCTTTGGCCCTGTCATTTAATAGGCCAGGGTCTATTCTTTGTATATCGGAGAGATTGGCACTGAACTGAGCCGCCGCAAGCTGCTTGGTAGCATTACTTGACGTGTGTGGCTCACCGCTAACGCCCTGAGCCGCCGTTAGCAGCAAGCAAAGTGATATTAAAATTATAGCTGCACATCGGGCGACTAAAAAGTTGCAGCACGCGACGCTGGTTAGAGGAACTTTGATGGCTTTTGATGGCGCTTTAAGCGCAGTTGTTGCTGTTCTTGTGCTTGAATGTTTCATACTTGTTGTATGCCAATCGTATATATTATATGGCAACATTATTTCGTCGACGCTCCGATCCGCAGTCGATTTTAAATTAACATTATTACACACGATATTTTGAGAATTAACATTTTGGTATTTCGCATGATCCATCGTCGAAGAACTGCAACAGCATTCCTGACAACAGACTCTCGGCGTATAGTTGGCCGGGCCCAGGCTATCATCATTATGTGTGTTACTGGGATATTGGCGACAACTGTACGCATCTCCTTTGTCCAACAGCATTTTTGCGGCAATCGTATCTGAGAAGATTCCCGGATTAGACGGGCGCTAAAAGAATCCAAATAAAAAACTGAAAGTTTAAGCTTAAGTTGGAATGCAATTCAATTCATTAGAGAACATTTTCTTAAGTATACGATTTTAGTATTATATCCATTTGATTTAGCGGGTTTGAGTTCGATTTAGCATTTAACTATATATCGACTAGCTTTTATAAAGTCGGCAGTTTGTAGATGATTTGTTGTGTGTGTATTGCCAAAATACATAGTAGATTATGTTCGATTAAATCTACCAAGTACTTTGTTCAAAAAAAGTGTTTTCAGAGAATTCTAATTTCCTTAACCAAATCGATTACTTTCTTTTACATTTTTAGTATAGTCGGTAAAAAAAACTTTACTGAAGATGATTCGCATCGAAATTAATTTACTGTGTTTTCTTTTTACGAATTAAATCCTTTCCTGCAGAAGATTTTCAGCTCATCAGCTTTTATATAAAATGTCCTTCAGAAGAGTTTTATTTCATTTTTTATAGAATCAGCTTTCTTTATAAGATTTTCCGATTAACAGTTTAAAATAAACGTTTATTTGAGAACTGTTATTTTTTGATAAAATCAGCTTTTTTATAAGATTTTCACTTTGTCACTTAAGTTAATTACAAAAATAAAAACTATAGTTGCATTTAAAAACTGCTTTTATTTTCATTATTTTTTTCAATATCAAATATGTTTTCTTTAGAAATTGTCGTTTAAGATAATTATAAAACAATATAATAATAATAGCCCAGAGTTAAATTGAAAGCAGTCGTTTCTAGAAGTCTGTAATCTTTCAACTGGATCTGAATAATTCAGAGCGTGCGAGCTTAACCAAATTTATTGACTAGAAATCAACTGTAAAGTGTAAATGTAATTAAAACGCTTCAGTTCGAATGCATATTCAAGAAAATGCACACGTGTATCAAAACATATACGTATAGGTATGTATATAAATATCTATATGTATTTATATATAAACGAGTATGTATGTATGTGTGTATACATATGTATATACATTTTCGCAAAAATTCAAATCTCGTTTTACACGTTGCTGTTGAATTTTTCAAAAATATTGTTATTTAGTAAACAAAAAAAGTGCATATGGCATGTGTTTTGAAATCAGAATCTGAATTTATTAGGCCGTTTATAATTGAGCGATTGTTGCTGCGCAATAACAGCCGCTGGCTAAAGTGAATGTGAATCGGACAGATTTGGCATTAATTTTCGCCATACATATATACATATGTATGCAGATATGTACATACATATGTTTGTATATTTATATATACATATGTATAGTATATATATCTTCGAGAATTTGAATTTACAATTCGACCAAGTGTGGGGAGTGAGGACCATTAAAGATGAAGATGATGATGACGCAATACTACGTGGTATACATATGTACATACATATGTATGTATGTAATAAATTGATTTAATTTTTAAATATTTCATTGAGATTAAGGACGAATCCATTTACATACAATCACATACATATATGTATGTACATATGTACATAGATACATGCATATGTACATGATGGGTTCCTGTGTTTTGTGACTTTTGAGATTTAGGAGTACATACATACATACATACATACATACATACATAAATATGTGCATACATATCTTGTATTTATCCTTAAAGCAGACAATCTGCAATCTGCTGTAAATTTTGCATTTTGAGTGCTCATACGCTGAAGTTGTTAATCAGATACACACATATGTATGTATGTATGTACATATGTATCTGTATGTATAAAGCTCGATGTGTGCGTTGCGGCCAAAGATCAAAGTACACCATAAAATCCACATTGGCGGGCAGGTTAAAATTTTGTATACACGTTTGTACACATGTGTGTGCGTGTGTGTGGTTGTTGGGGCGCGGGTAAATTTTTTGTATTGGCCTCGTCATTCGCATTTTAGCACTTACTCTATATGTATGTACATGCATATGTATGTATGTATATACATACATACAAGTATGTATGTACATACATATGTATGTATGTTTGTGTTTTTATGTTTATAAATATTGTAGATATAAATATTTTACTGTACATGGGCGCGTACATCCCAGCCATGCTGTTTATGTATGTATGTACATATGTATGTATTATTTATTTACCTCGATGGCACTGCCCGCCAGAATCAGAATCAGAATGAATTTTCTCCAGCAAGTTACACACTACTTGCTAGCATCAGAGCGTCAGCGTCAGTAACAACGGCGGCAGAGCAACAGCAGCAACAACAACAACAAACACTTGAATGATGATGCCTCAGGCCTCAGCCTCAGCATAGCCTCAGCATATATCCCTTATTGTTCTGATTAAACTTCCACTTGTAGCTGCCTCTGTTGGCGCGCAGCGCGGCGCGTAGTAGTTGTTGCTGTTGTTGGTGTTGTTGTTGTTGCTCCACTCAACGATTGGACCAAATAACTGGAAATATATATCGCGGGCTTTTGATTCTCCTCCACCTCCTCCAACACTGTTGCGGCTGTTGTTCTTATTGTTATATGTACTTAGTTGTTGGTTGCTGTTGGTTTGTTGGTTGTTGTTTGGTTATTTATGGATTGTTGTTGTAGTTATTTTAAAAAAAATTCTTATTATTATTTAGTTGTAGTTGTTGTTGTTATTATTATTATTGTTGTTCACATCACATCTCATATGCATTCTTCTTCAGGCGCTGCCACTGCTACTGTTCCATCGTCATATCGAATCGTCTCGTCTCAAAGGCAAACCGAATTCTTTTTATGCCCGTTGTAGAAATTCGCGATAATTTTGCTTTATGGCATATGTGTATATACATACATACATACATACGTGTACATACATACGTGTACATACATATATATATACAGAGCCATACAGCCGCGTGATTTTTGTTGTTGGCTAGCGCTTGTTGCTTATTCTCTGAAATTGCAATTCTTTAATGTTTGCCCATGTGTGTGCGTGTGAGTCGATGTGTGTTGCCGTCTATCTTTCTGGGTGTGCGTGTGTGTGTGTGTGTGCATGCTGTGCGTGCGTGTGTGTGTGCGTGTATGTCTGTCTGTATGTGTATGGCTATGGCTGCTTGATGATCACTCTATTGTATTCAATTAAAACCATTTATAAACATAATAATCAGAATTTTTGTGCTCTTGAACTTCAGTCTTGCAAGTGCAGTAGCTTGCATGCTTTTGCTTTCACATTCATACACAAACATACATACATACATATGTACGTATGCATAGCACAATACAATATTCGAGATAACGAACATTTCAATATCTCCCTATACATACATATGTATGTATTATGTACATATATATGTATATGTACGCTATTATATGTCTACATATAGTATAAAAGACGAACAGACATGTGTCTACCGTATGTAGAAATGTACCATACGTGTACTAATGTATGTATGTACATATGTATGTATGTGGTGTGTACGCTTGTGAATTCTATTTTGAACATTTAGCAAGTGCATGTAATTTTAGTTTTTTTTTTTTGCGCACATTTTTTTGTGTCTGCGTTTCTGTTGCTTCGTCTTCTTCTTCTGCGCCTTCTACTTCTTCGCTGAAGAAGTCTTATGGACCGCTCAAAATCGATTTATTTGTTTTTGATTGCAGCACACTTCATCATCATTGACCATTCACCAACACCAACACCAACACCTCCACTACCATCACCATCATTCACCATCACTACTAACACCGATCTTCCCGATTCGTTGTCCGATGTCCGTTGTCCGTGCGTCAAATTCGTTGTCGTTGGCGTTGCCGTTGTCGTCGTTGTCGTCGTCGTCCAACCCACCACCTCCTCTTGCCGCCACCACACACACTGGGAAAAAAAGGAGCACAGGCACCGATCAAGCACGTCTATACCGACAGACTAACTACCAGCAGCATTCGTACAAAAGAGAACCAGAGTCGCGCACGGTGGCCATACAACTGCAAACTGAGACTGAGATGAGATGCGATGCCACGAGATGAGATGAGCGGATCTGACACAGACATCTACGGCAACGGCAACGCCAACGGCAACGGCAACGCAGCGGCAGCTATAGCCACAGCTACAGATACAGATACAACATCGGCCGTTGAGCGTTTTGTGCATTCGCATTCGCATTCATCAGCGTCAGCGTCAGAGTCAGCAGTCAGCAGTCAGCACATTCAGGGCCGGACCATCGGGAGGCAATGTGGGGGATGTGGGGCTCTCACAATTATACCGGCTGGCGGCAAATAATCCTCTTTGCCAACCGCATTGCCTACTTGCTGTTCGTTTAACAACAGCAACAACAACAACAACATCATCATCAGCAGCAGCATCACCATAATTACAATCATGTATCCGTCTTTGGACTATTTTTTGACCTAAAATATAACCAGTTTGATTCCAATAAGACCAACACAAGGGCCAGCTTTACAGCCAATATATCAATAGATCTTAGGGTCTCTGACATATGTGTATGTGTATGTACAGGCTTCTTATGTACATATGTGTGTATGTATACACAGATATGCATACCTGCAAACATATGTACATACATCTGTATATACCTAAATACATGGGTGTTCATGGTGGGGCTTTAAAAAACATTGCATTTAGTCAGCAGGACTTAAATCCGGCCCTGTCTACCTGAATTGGCTTTGTGTAAGCGAAGTTCGCATACTCTGAGTGAAAATAAAAGTGAAATGAGATTTATGTCTTGCCCCTTTTCGACACTACATGTGCCAAATAAGTACAATTGGATGGCCAAGTGAGTCAGGCATGTTCCCGTTTCCAATTGCGATCATATTTGTCAAAATCGATTGTGGAATTCGTTAGTCGCTTTGACATAAATGACATAAATTCTTACATTAATTTTAGTACCATTCTGAAGTACATTGAAACTGGAATTGAACTAAACACACCGATGTTGACAAATAAAAGTTAAAACAAGCAATCCGTAAAGACAGACTTCATCATAAAACTTAGTCATTGACAAATTATTCGCTTGCAAGCAGCGTTTAAAATTTCTTTGCTTTGATTTTATTTACCTTGTCAAATGTCCACCTTAAATGTAGTACGGTTGGTTATGATTATAAAAATAATGATTTATATTATTTGTATAAATGGTTTAGAAATGTATAAAAATAATAAATGTTATTATTTATATTAATTTCTGATAGTTAGGGAGGAAATTCGGAATGTTAATAAACTTTGAAATGGAATGATATCATGGAGGATGATTCAATCGACTGTCCAAGCTCAAATCCAATATGTAATCGAGAATATACTACAATAATAAATAATTTATTTCTAAGTTACGGGTTCAAAAGTGCTAAACAATGCTATTTTGTGTTAACCCATGTTTACCGGGAGCGACATTGTATTAAACTTTGCTGCTGCAAAGCTGAGGCTGAGATTAGAAATATATAATGGACAATCCATTAAGATTATAGTCAGATCATTATAGTTATATATATTTATTACACATGTTTCAGTTTGTTTGTTCATTTTAGTTATGCGATTTCAATAGAAAAAAATTCCATAGTGCGAATACCGATTTCAATTCAAAATAATAATAAAAAAAAAAACATAAAGCAGCAATATTCTTATATTTACCTTGAGAATGCAATATATTATATGTAGATAATGGAAAATTCCCAAGGGTACCTAGTCAGTAAAGGCGGCACGTTGCAGTCAGTATTCGAATTTCACGCGGATGTACCCATTTAATATTATTTGCTGAAATTTTTCCTTCCTCTTTTGACAGTGCCGCGCATTCTAAATATAGTGAATGACACACGTAAATACACATTTCATGGTTATCTTCAACTTCAAATGCTTGTTTCATTCAATGCTCTAACCATTCCTTGACTCAATTTTTAATTTTTAAACGTGCTAACGGTATGCTTATAAGGAAGATATTCTTGGGAAACAACATATACCCATCTCATATTATTTGTTTCACATTATGTGTGAAGTAGCTTGTGCCTTTTTTAAGAATACCTTTGGTTTCTTTTCATGTTTTACCAGACTTATATTAGAATTCAAATTTGAATTTAAAACCACCATTTTTTTTTAAATTTCAGTGTTGGGAATTGTCGATTGATAAAAGCCGATAGATGAGTCCGCGAAAATCGAATAATTAAATGCATAATCGGCATGTTTGCCATACATAGGCTTTGGATTAATCGGGCGTTTCCACTTGATATCGCAATATTATAAATGTATACAAACATAAATTCTTAATTTTAAATCCACTTTTCACTACCGCAACAGCCATTATAAAATATGTTATTTCAAAATCTAATTATTATTATTAGATTCTTAAATAAATTTTACCCAAAAGCATAATTTTTATTTGAATAGTTCCAATGGCAGTTTTAAATGGAGCAACGCTTGTACAATATCCCTCCGTATAATATCAAATTATAAATTTATTTTAATGGAAACGACGTTTTTCTTCTGTTTAACGCTTTCATTTTACGTTAACAAGAGTGAAAGCATGTTGTGTTCTGCCGTATGTTGGAAAGACTTCTTAGCGGTGGTAGTTTTTGCTTAGGGATGGTATTTTCAAATTATCGAGTGCACTAGAAACAATCGAGTGGATGTGTTGTCGAAAAACGCACTTTCAAATTTAAATCTGAAGGGAAATGCGGGAGAAGAATTTTAATTTTAAGTTTTAATTTCTCTCTCTCTTCTCTAGATATTCTGCAAATGAAAATGCATTGAAAATAAATGCTGTTGGTTATTAGAAGTTAATCTTTTAATTTATCTGAATATCAAGGGAAAAGGCAAAATAAATGTAGATCCCAAAGAGTTGTAACTAAGTTTATGAATTTTCCCTGTGATCCTACCCGGGTTTCGTCACCGTAAATAAATCATACAATTACATGAAGAACGCTGTAAGACCCCCACAAAAACATGTATTCTTAGTCAGCATTCCTAAATAAATAGGCCTTACCTGTCCTTCTGACTGTCGGTATAAATATAAAAATATGGCAAAAGGCAGACGGGGCCAATTATTTGCAATTCATTTCACTAAATTGTAATGAATGTGCATATGTTCTCAGTTTGTAAAACAATTCATACTACTTGTAGAATGTCATTTTAAATTGTTTCTTTATATTCCTATATCATTCTTTGTGTATAGTATAGTAGAAAGTATTTGTATTTGAAAAATTTGTATTTAATTTGACTTTTGTGCAATTTTTCATCAAAGAAGTTAGCGATATTTCATTTTGTATGTTGCCAATTGGCGTACAAAATCTGATTTGACATGCCGCCGGCAAAGCCACATTCTCATTGGGTGTGAATTCTAATACGATTGTTTGATGGTGGCTTACCAATTGGACGCGTTAATGATTTATAAATATTTATGCAACTTATTTTAAAATGTTACAACATCCTGTTCATTTGTGTTCCTTTAAAAGTATAAAGCTTTCGACCTGAAACTACTGGTTGGCTTGGACTCGATTGCTTGTTTTTGAAAATTATTATTAAATTAATGCATTTTTTGCGTTTTTAATTTTTAGTTTTATTTCGTGATAGTGAGCATTTTATAGGCACTTGTGTCGAAATAAATAGTTTTTTAATAGCTTTAATACATCTTGCAAAATCCACAGAATTGCAAACTATGTTCTCTGACCAAATTTTCAATTTGTTTTACATTTTAGCAGCAAACTTTATAGTTGCTGTAAAATGTTTAATGGAATCTCAAAATGGAATGGTTTTTTATTAGAGATAATGTTACGCTTATAACGTGAATATAATTAAAATTACTTGTAATAATCAACCCCATGACTAAATGAATTAATAAAATAATGACAATAGAATAGAATTCTTGTTTTCCTTATTCAAAATTAATTGTTTTTTGTCGTTCTGTTTTGTAAAAATTGTAAACATTATGATGAGAATAATCCTGCCGAACTTTAACTAAATTTTTGAATTTATCTATGATAATGTCAATAGAAAAAGTGTTTTATTATAACCGTAGATGTTTTTTGTCAAAACTTTGCATATAGGACCACCCAAACCATACCATAGCTTCTGAATTAACAATTTAATATCCATGCTCATTTCTTTCACAATATTCTGTATTATACTTGTACTGCCTTGTTGAACTCGATAATTGAATTGCTTAATGCTCAGTGCAATTATCTGTTAAACACATTTTAAGTGTCT